GGGGGGGGTGAAATATGCCGCAGAATTCCTTAACGTGTTTGAACCACACAGGATCAAGCGAATTACAGACATCATCTTTGCAGACGAAACATGGATTCCCTTTCTCAAATGGAATTCTTTCAAAACGGTAGAATCAAAAGTGGATAGACAAGAAATATAATCTTGTTGGACAAAGCTTTGAACACATTCAAAACCTACTAAGAGCAGTCAATTCAGAGCTATCAGAGCTAAGAAGTATACCGAAAATAGCCTATCGTTATGCCGTCCAGGGCTGACTGTGGGGATTGGACTCCTGCATATAAAATCAAGGAAAGACCCTTTACACAACTCGACCCCCCCCCCTTTTCACCCTGGTGGGAATGGCATGGGTACCCGGCTATAGACAACGAAAAATCTTGTTAGTATGTTTGTGTATGAGCGCTTAATCGGCAGCCTGCACTGTATGCTTTTTGGGAAGCCGAGAATATTTCTGAGTGTAATAATGCAAAGAGCAAAGACCATGCTGTAGAGCATGGATAAGCTCAATATAAATGCTATTCATTATTATTATAGCTAAAAAAAATAAATCGGAAAACTCATCAATAAAAAAAAACTAAACTAAAAAAAGAGATGCTAAAGCTGAAAAAAATTTCTAAAGAAACTTTTAAAAACCTAAAAAAAAGTTTATAACAAGCTCTTTCAAAAATTGTTTAAAAGGGTAAAAACTGAACAAACATTGGTAAAAACGAATTTGAAAACGTTTAAAATAAATTTTTAATAACTCCATAAATATTTTTTTAGATATTAAAAGACTCATAAAACTGTTAATAAAATTTTAAGAAGTCTAATCTAAACTCAACAACAACAACAACAGCAGCAGCAGCAACAACAACAACAACAACAACAACTGACAACAACTGCTTTCTTGTGTTCCTCAGAGCCATCATGAACACAGTCCTCGTATCCCTGCTGCTGTGTGCCGTGCTGGGAGTAGCCTCATCCTATTGGCTCGGAGGTAAGTCACGTGACCCCTGTCCATAGATTTATACTGTAACATCCTAGATTGTACACTGTCACCTAGTTCCGGTTCGCTTAAAAAAGCTATTTTTCATGCAGGTACGCCCCCATCGACACGATTTAGATCATTAAAAGGGGGGGGGGGGGGGGGG